CACCAAGAACTGGGAGATGGAGAGAAATGGAGTGCAGTCTGCATGCACCGGCCTCTGTTTCCAAGTTCCAGCAAGCTCGTGTCCATTCTACAGGAGGGAATGTCAAGGTAATACCAGTGACTTGTACCGTATCATTAGGGTTGCCAGGCGGTGCTTGGCAGCCGGCAGGAAGACTGTAGATAGGGCAGCCTCCCAGGAGAAAAATTGAAAAGAAAAAGAAGGCCTACCGTAGAGATTCTGGCCACTGCTAAAGCACTTCTGGGTAGGTCTTGGAATTGTCATGAACTCTGTGATCAGAACTTCCTGTAAATAAACAAGACATTCTTTTCCTTTTTATTCCCTGGACGACTGCACGCCCCTCTGGCCAATTTCAACTTGCCAATCAGCTGAGCATCAGCAAGAGACAAGGGCTGCAGTTACCTGGAGGTTTCCGGCAGCCTGTGGGACCATCCCCGCAGGGGCGGGACTTGGAGCCGGAACATCCCCAATGTGACATCATCACGTGGGGGATGCCCCGCCCCCTCTGGGAATGCCCTCCAAAGACCCCTGCTGGGGATGAAGATGGACTTGGCAACCCTAGTCTCTGAAGAACATGAGAGAAGGAAGGCAAAAAGAGAGAGAGGCTGATTCTGCATTGGCTTTACCCTCCGTTATTTTACAAAAACCACGATGGAACAGAAATTCCCCTCTGCATTGCATGCTGCTTTCACTTCCTTTGATCATCGGGTTTTATGGTAGCTTCCTCACTCCAGGCCACTTTCGAGTTCCTTGATTGTCAGATTTTATTGCACCTTCTGCATGGATTTATGGCTGTCAGGGGTGTCAGGAGTCTGTCCCTCTTGGCAGGAAGACACCAACAGGACAGTGGTGGCAGCATACCCTAGTGGAAGGAAGTGAAATAGCACCCTCCAGGAATTAGTGCAAGCCAAGGAGAGGCCTGGCAGAACAGGGCCTGTAAGTCGGAGCAGGCCTGTTCCATCACAACAAGAGATAGGGCATATATTGAATGCCCGCCCTGACTGAGGAACACTGTTATCAGCAGAGCTCAGTGAAGCTTGCCACCAAAAAAGAAACTTAATCTGTCCTCTTGTTCAGAACCTTCCTGAAGGCCCCCTTCACCTCCTTGTTGCGGAGGCTGTAGATAAGGGGATTCAACAGGGGGGCGACAATGACGAACATGGCAGAGACCAGAGTGTCTATTTCCAGAGAATAGCCAGCGCTTGGCTTGTTGTAGTTCAGGAATGCATTTCCAAGACAGAGAATGACAACGATGAGGTGTGAAGCACACGTGGAGAAGGCCTTGCGGCTACCACCTTTGGCGCGAATCTGCAGAACAGAGGCCAAAATGCAGATGTAGGAGAGGATGATGAACAGGAAGGGGAACAGGCCCACAAAGAGGCTCATGATATGAGTGGCCAGTTCGTTGGCACGAGTATCACTGCAGGCGATTTGTAACAGTGGCGGGACATCGCAGAAGATGTGTGGGATCTGGTTGACTTCACAGAAGGACAACTGTGAAGCCAAGGCACTGTGAACTGCTGAGACCAGGAAGCCACAGACCCAAGTGGCAGAGGCTAGCTGGATACACACCCTCTTGCTCATGAGGAGAGAGTAGTGCAGGGGCCTGCAGATGGCGGCATAGCGGTCATAGGCCATGACAGCCATTAGTGCCGGCTCGCAGCCCACAAAGACCATCAGGAAGAAGGCTTGCACCAGGCATTCCTCATATGAAATTGTGTTTTCTTGGCGCAGGAAGTTGATGAGGATCTTGGGAACAACGACAGTGAATGTCCAAGCAGGAGAGGTGACTGAGGAAGAAGTACATGGGGCTGTGAAGGCAGGAATCCACGAGGACCAGAACTAGTATCATGAGGTTGCCCATCAGAATGGCCAGGTAGGCAGCCAGAAACGCGACAAAGAGGAAGGCTGGGTGGCTTGGGAGGCCGGAGAAGCCCAAGAAGATGAACTCTCTCACCTGTGTGTCATTTTCTGCAGCCATGGCAAAGAGAGGATGCCTCTGTGAGGAGAGAAAGGAAGCTCCGTGAGATACAGTATGGTGCAGTGGTTAGAGTACACAACCTGGGTTCAAATCACCAGTCTGCCATGAAGTCCGGTGGTTGCCCTGGGCCACTCACTGTCTAAGACGAGCTTACCTCACTGGATTCTTGTGAACATAAAATTGGGGAGGCGAAAACAACTGCAGAGGAATGGCCAGAGAAGTATAACAAGCTGGGGCTGGAAGACAGCATAAGAATGAAATATAACAATGGAACTGGGGCTACCAGACAGCATGACCCCTAACTCCTCTTCCGCCCAAGACATTTACTAAAATGAATGCAAATACCTTGATTTCCAGAGCTCAGCCCATTCCTTTGGCACACAGGCAGTTACATTCACAACAGAGGATAATCACGCACCTAACTCGTGCCAATTTCTGCACGTATTTGATGGTTTCATCTGCTTCCAAACTTTATATCATCTTCTGTTTTATATTACTATTTATTTATATTATGGGATCAGAACGAATCATTTGCTTAACAGCACCAAACTACTGTTTTGAACAGTAGCTTTTATCCTGAAACATTTCTATTAATATAAAGCCTTCCCAGAAACTCAGCGACATTATTCTGTTCATTCCAAAACAATCTTATGTATTCCTTTGTTTAGCAAATTAATACGTTGGCTCTCCAGAGACTGACTTGGGATGGCTTACAGCTAAGGTCATACTACAAAACCATTCAGAAAATAAGCAGGAGATGGAGAAGCTCTGTTCTCTCTGCTAAAACAAGACCAGGAGCTGATTATGGGACAAACCGTGAATTGTTAATATATATATAAAAAACTAGAATAAAGATTAAGATAAACTGAAACATTCATAGAGGTAAAGTACAATCTGAACAACATTCCTGGAGAGTTTAAAGACCATGTAAAGAAGATATTTGCATTACGAAGTTCAAGCGAATGTGAGCCAGAAGAACTATGGGTCGAAATCAGAGGTGTTATCCAGGAAGGGGGAGGGGCTGCGGCTCGGTGGTAGAACATCTGCTTGGCATGCAGAAGGCACCAGGTTCCATCCTGGGAATCTCCAGGTAGAAGGATCAGGTAGGAAGTGCTGTGAAAGACCTCTGCCTGAGATCAGCTGCCAGGCTGCCTGAGAGTAGCTGCCAGGCTGAGGAGACAATACTGACCTGGATGGGCCAAGGGTCTGATTCAGTACAAGGCAGCTTCATGTTTGTTTTCATGAGTGAAGAACCTGCAAAGACGATTCCTGAAACCAAAAGAAATGAGAAGTCCCAGTGGAAGACTGATGAAACTCTTAAAATTGCTAAAGATAGACGAGAAGCAAAAGTAAAAACTGATAGAAATAGAATCAAAAGCCTAAATGCAGGATTCCACCAAATCACACATACAGACAGAGAACTGTTTTAATATGGCAGCTCCATACTGGTGGAAGACATCAGGGCCCTGCAGGACCTCCTACAGTTCCACGGGGCCTGTAAAACGGAGCTCTTCCACCAGGCCTTTGACTAGGAGCCGCCACTAGCACCAACACGTGGACAACATCTGAACACCTGAACTGCTAACAACTGAACAGTTAAGGCCCTCATGCTTAGAGCAGTGAAGGCCCTCATGCTGAGAGCAACAAGAAAAGCTAATGACACAGGTATGGCCACAGTGTAGTCTCTACCATCTAACATAGCCTTGGAGACGCTACTACCATCTATATGCAACAGCACTTTACGTATAAATGTGATTGCTTGATTGAATTTTAGATTTTTGCTTTGTCAATGTATCCATGTTGTAAGCTGCCCTGAGCCTGCCCATGTGGGGAGGGTGGAATATAAATCAAAAGTATAAATAAATAAAATAAATAATAATCCGTGTTAAGAAACAGGAGGGAACAACGGTTCGCCTCCCACCCTCTTCCTTAAGTTCGCTGCCACCACTCACTGGTTACTGGATTATATGAGAGAATTTCAGAAGAAAATCAGCTTGGGTTTCATAGATTACAGCAAAGCTTTTGACTTTCTGGATCTTGAAAAGCTATCATTGGTTTTACAAGACATGGGTGTGCCATTGATTGTTTTGATGTGCAACCTGTACTCTGGACGGGGCTACAATTAAGACAGAATATGGAGAAAAAGAAATGTTTCCAATTGGCAAAGGGATCAGACAAGGATGTATTTTATCGCCTATATCAGTCTATATGGAGAGCATACCATAAATAAAACTGGATTAGATTTGAATGTAGGTGATGTGAAAAACTAGTGGAAGGAACATTAACAATTTGAGGTAATCAGATAACACCACATCACTGGCAGAAGACAGTGAAGACTTGAAATGACTCCTGGTGAAAGTTAAAGCCGAAAATGTCAAAGCAGGATTACAGGTGAACATCAAGAAGGCAAAAGTAATGACTCCTGGAGAATTACACAACTTTACACATTCTTGTTGATCTTTCCATTCTTGTTTCGCTTTCTGACTAAGAAAAATAGGAGCAGTTTCTGCTAGAAAACTACTCACCATTGCACATGGATGGATGGATGGACTTACAGACAGACAGATGGATGGATGGCTTCTCCTCCAGTTCAGCTCCAGTTCATGTTGGCAAAGGAAATCACAAGGTCTTTCACTGCCCCTATTGCTGGACCGCCAGGTCAGAGGGAAAGTACTGCTTAGCCTGAAGGCTACAGTGTGGTGGTCAGTGTTCCCTCTAAGCTGAGTTAGTGTGAGCTAGATCAATTTTTTAGCCTCTGGCTCCAGAGCAAACTAACATATGCAGTAGCCAAATCACTCACTCACAACGTTAATGCCAGTAGCTCACAAAGTACAATTTTTGCTCACAAGATTCCACAGCTTAGAGGGAGTGATGGTGGTGATTGGTAGTCCCCAAACGTTGAACCTACAATCAGTCTGGAAGGTGTCTCTCCATCTTCAACATGAAGAGCATGTCCCTGTAAACAGTTCATACAAGACTGAGGTAGATTGGGAGTGAGAATGCTTTACTTGGCCTGGGGACCGTGGGGATGAACCTCAGTGGGAAATCCACAGGGAATGGTGTGTAATTGAAGTTTTGAGAATTGTTGGCTCACGTGAGGCTATTTAGCAGAGGCAGTGAAGCCATACAAAATGGATATTGCCTCATAGTGTCAGGGAATAAAAAACTTGTACTTACAGAGGTTTCCAGAACATGGGGAGTATAGCCTAGCCTGATGGCTTTGGGGAAACACCAATGTGTTGTAAACTTTCTCCCAGGGAGTGCTGCCTGATTTAAAATCTTCCTACCAGTTCAGTCTGAAAGCTGACATGCTCCCAAGAATGGAGACCAGCAATCTCACCCTCTCATAGTCTGTCTGAGGTCTATCCCTGCATCGTTCTTTCTTCAAATGAATATCCCAAGATTCCAGATGCAAGCCTGCCTTGTCTATCACACCTTGCTTTCAGATCAGGGTCTGAGCTTCTGGTCCATTGTTGGTCTAATCCTGTTGTTCTAATCCTCCCTAACAAATTAGGAGAGAGTTCTACAGAAATAATTCCACTACAAAGACAGCTCCCATGAACATATCTATTTGTTGAGGGAGCGTCATACCACAAGGCTTCCAGATGCGAACACACATGAAACTGCCTTATACTGGATGCATGTATGCACCAAACCGGCAGCAGT